ATGGGTGTCTGGGACACAGGAGGTACCCACGTGTGCCCGGTGGGCCAGGGCGGGGGAGAGGCAATCAGTGAAGCAGAAGCACTGTAGTGGGAGTGGGAAAAGGTCAAACCAGGAGCATGGGGGCCAGACCTTCCAGCCTCGGGTATGGGCTTGTTAGGTGGAAGGGAAGGAGGCGTGGAAGAAGTTGGCTGAGCCAAGTACCCAAACCTGGCCCTGAGGCAAGGCAAAGCTGCCCGCCAGCTTTCCATGCCTAACTGCAGCTGGGGCTTCGGTGGGCAGAGGCTATTTCAGGGCCCAGATGCTCTGCTGACCTCCTGCTCTCCTTCACCTCCTCCAGCCAGAGAAGGGGCAGGCGGGGGCCGGCAGAGGTGTCCAGGGCAGAGGGCTGGGAACCACAGGCTAAGTGAGCCCCAGGCTCCTGATGCATGTCAGAGCCTTTCTGCTCTCCTAAGCAGGGCATGAGGCCTGTCCCACTGGTAGCCACATCTCACTTCTGGTGCTAGCCCTGCCCTATGTGGCCTCATGGTGCCATCCCCTGTAGGCCTTTGAAGCCCTCACAGTCTGGTGGTACAGCCTTGCTGAAGCTGACCATGCCCTTCTGATTCCTGGCCCCTGTTTATGTCTGAGCAGACACCTGAGAGGAGAGAACCAGCATCTTCTGGACGCTGTCCCTGGGCAGCACCATGCAGTGTGGGCTCCCTCGTTGGATGTTGAAAACAACTTGCCCAGTACCATTCTGGTCTCTCTGTATTAGTCAGTGTTTCATTGCTGATGTACTAACTAATGGGGGAGGTACTTGCGTTGGCTCACGGTTAAGAGGGTTCAGTCCGTGGCAACCTGGCTCCATGGCAGATCCAGAGGGGCAGAAGAGCCTGGTGGAGGAAAGTCACTCACTTCATGGCATCCAGGAAGCCAGGAGGAGAAGAGCCGAGGAAGGGATCAGGGACAAGATGTAGTCTCTGCCCCTCTAACCAACTGGGCACATCTGACGGTGCTTTACTGATCTTGTAGGCATCTCTCAAGCCAGTCAAGCTGGCAGTCAGATGAAGGCTCACACTTCCCAGCAACTCTTCCATTCGCAGGACCCCTGAGCTCCACCAGTGACCAGGCCATCCTTCTGGTTGCTCAGCTCAGTCCTCTCTGTTCATGTCTGTGTGATTGCTTTCTTGCCTCCTTGTACAATCTAGACACCTGAAAATCCTTATGACTTTCAACTAAACCCTGAATCCAGTCACTTCTTACTAGCCACTGCATTCATCAGTTCAAACCTTTCTGTGGCTTTCAAGGCCAAATACAGCTGCTCTGCATAAACTTCTGGCTTCCTCTGTAGCAAGATGGCTGCTCTTGACAACTTACTTCTGCCTCAGGACCTTTGCACCTGCTCTTGTCTTGCTAGTCTGCTCCCCTGTCTTCTCTGGGAGGCCTTCCTGACCACAGTATTTTAACTTGCAACACTGCACATCTCACATGTGCACCTCTCTCCTGCACGATTTTCCTTTATCATACCTACCACCACCTATTATTTTATTGTCTGCACTTCTTTACCTGCATTCACATGTAGGGGCAGGAAACTGGAGACAGTACTTGCCTAGCATGCCTCAGGTGCTAGGTTCTATCCCTACTCCTCACCCCCCCCCAAAAAAAGGACAGGGGATTCTCAGTGCCTACCACTACCAAGCATGTAGTAGATACTCAATAAAAAATTATTGATTGACTGAGCCAAAGTTAAGATCTTCACTGTGATCACATGGCCTATACGTGAGCAGTGGCTTCAGAATCTGAACCTGGGCTCATAGGCTGTTGATCAGAGTGGGAGGGAGACCTGGAACACTGGCCAGCATCGCCAGCTGAGACCACAGGGAAAGTACAGGGCTGGGGAAGGCTGCAGCCAGAAGAAAGGAGCAGTACGGTCAGAGTCTGCTCTTGGCAGCAACCAGGAAATTGCTGCGTGATTCTGTGCAAGCCCGTCGGGGCCTCCGCATCCTTGCTCATGAGGGACAGAACGAAGGCCCCTCCGGCGTTATCTTCCTCTGCTGGCCTCGCTGGAGTCCACCTGCCTCCCTGGATGCAGGGTGGCTGCCACAGTGCTCTAGCTTCTCCTTCCTCCTCCTGTGCCACCAGCTTTTCTGGCCCCATTGAGAAGTGCTGGATGGCTGATGCCTGCCCAGCGGGAAGTAGCCACGGCACATGGACAGTTCTACCCTCTGACCTGGGAGGGAGCAGTGGACAGGCTGGCTGGGTCTGCCCGGCCACCCGCAGCTCCAGGGGCCTCTGCTGCCGCCCCTGCCCCACACCACTCCTCTGCCCAGCACCCCTCAACACCCACTGCCCTGACACCAGTTGCACAAAGACAGCTCCAGATGTCTCCCTGGCCGGGGGACAAAGGCCACACTGTGCCTGGCCCTGGACTGGCCTCAGGCTGTGTCACACTGAGCCCTTCTGTCCCAAGTTGGGGGTGAGAGGCAGACAGCACCAAGGTGACAGGCCTTTTTCCTGTTTCCCTCCCCCCTCCGCCCCCCAATCTGAGAAACTGACTCTCCCAAGAGGAAAGTGACAGAAGCATCTTGTGTCTTGAGCTTGGGAACAACAGACCAGTCTCTGCCCAGTCTGCCCTGTCACACCCAAGACCCTGCCCAGTTCAATGCCCTGATTGTCCCCAGCAGAGAGACATCCCCCTGTGCTTCACTCACCACTCCATCGCCTGCCTCCCGTCCCCATCGGGAAGCCCATCCCTGCATCTGACCTCCATCCCTCGGTGGCAGTGACAGCCACTTCCTCTTGGTCTGTTCACCAGCAGTGGTGATGCACAGGTGGTCCCCATCCCTTTGGTCACTGTGACCCATGTTCCTGCTCCAGTCCAGGCCACCTGAGCTGGTGCCTCCTTGCTTCTAATGGAACTGTGGGGAGAGCAGGTGCGATTTGGGGCTGGCTATCCTATCCTGCAGAAAGTGGGGTCCTCCCTCCCCAAAGATTTGGGTAAGCTTCTCTCCCCAGGGGCCAGATTCATGGCAGCTCCTGGTAGAGTCCTGAGCTGCAAACACAGCACACCATCCCATAAATCCCAGGCTGGAGGATGGCTTAATGGGGAAGCCCTGTTTTTAGAAAGGGGTGTAGCAGGTCACTCTTGGCAGAGCACAGCCCTCCAGGAGCCATGTCCCTGCCCCCCAGGTGACCAGGACGGAGCCTGGGGAGTGAGTCTCTGCAGTGTAGATGTGCTGCTTCCAGGGCAGAGGCGGCTTTTCTTATGGGGGTCTCCTCTTCTCCTGGGCCTCCCCCACTCCTGCTCAAGGGGTCCCGCCTCAGCACAGAGTATAGTCCAGCCCGGCAGAGAATCAGCCCTTCCCTGCACCCAGAGTGTTTCCAACCATGGCTCCGAGTGCAGATCATGGGACGTGCTGCTGAGGACTGTGCTCTCCCCTGCACACAGCAATGCATGCCCATAGTCTCAGCCTTTTGGAGGCTGAGGCAGGAAGGTCACAGGATGGAGGCTGGTCTGAGGAAGTTAGAGAGCTTGCCTAGCATGCTCAAGGTGGGTCCTGGGTTTATCCCCAACATGGGTAGTGGAAGAGAGCAGTTCTAGAACCTAACAGTGAAACCCAGGAACCTGAATGTTCTTTTACACTGCTACGGTGATGCTAATGTTCAGGCAACTTGGCTGACAATGATTTGTACTGTATGGATATCGCTATGGTCCTGCCTGTGGGGAAATGAGAGCCACTGGATAGGATGTGTCTTTTTGTCCCTGGGACCTATCCCTCTCCACAGGAGGCATCCCTATGTGCCCCTGGGTGGAAGCGGGTGCCACTTCCTGTCAGACCAAAGGCTGCACAGCTCACAGAGCCCTGCCACAGCTGAAGCTGGCTGGTGGGAGGGTGTGATAGGGACTCAGGACCCTCCTGGGCTGGCAGGAGGTGGCAAGGGGACTGTGCTTTACATGCCTATGCAATCTCAGTGCCTCCCACAGGCAGCACACAGTAGGTGCTCAACCCTTGGTGTGTTGGGCTGAAATGCATCAGCCTTCAGGGTCCCCGTTCGGCTGGCGGTGAGTATCCGAGCTTGACTCTGAGATAGCAGTCTGGACCTCGGGAGCATGCAGGGTCAGGGAGCAGACCCTTTCCAGGCTGGCTGAGGACACAAGGACGTGATCATTAAGTAAAGCAAACATGTTACTGACCCATAATCCTTTAAACCAGGAGGATTCAGGAGGGCCTGGTTGCCTTGGCAACTAGGTGTCGGCCAGCAGCAGGACTGAGCATCCTCTAGGCGTGGGCTCTGGTGCGTGGGTGGAGCTGGGAAGGTGGCCAGTCAGCCCCCCCCCCCCGGGGCTGGCCCTGTGGCCTTGGCAGGTGTGGGGGTGGGTCTTTGTGCAGCCCACCACCCTCCTTGTCCCCATGGCAGCTTGGCAGAAGGCAGTGTGACAGAGCAGGATGAGGAGGCGGCTCGTTGGGAGCTTAGGGAACCGAGGGGAGGCGGGACAGCCCCACTGGGTTTTCAGGACCAGAGGAGGAGGGGAGTCTGGAAGGAAGTGACAGGGTGTTCCCTGTGCAAGAGGCTGAGCAGCCAATGGGGAGCTGCTTCTGCCTGGGGAAGGCCCCTGGGTGAGCAGAGCACCCCCTGCATGGTGTTCTCCACATAGGGTGCCCGGTCTGCTCAAGGCACTCTGGCAGGGGAGGGACTGCAGGGCTCCTTTTTCCTGTCCCTGCTTCCCCTGAGACCTTCCCTGCCCCTGGTCCTCACACCTCAGCTGGAGAGAGGGTGAGGCTGAGCCAGGTTCCCTTGAACCGGTGGCCCTTTTCGTGGCTCCTGGGGGTGCAGGACAAACCAGAGGGGTTTGCTCATGGTGTTGTGTCCAGAGAGGGTAGGCCGAGGTGAAGTCCCTGAAGTCCCTCCATCAGCAGAGCTCCCCAGCGACTGACACAGTCACTGGCTTATGAGGTAGCCTGGGCCCACCAGGTCGCCCACTTCAGCAGCTGAAGTATTTGCTGTTCCATCTGATGCAGGTTCTGACCATCTCCCCAGGGGAGGGGAATCTGAAGGGCTGAGTCACTGAGGAGAGGAAGTAGGTGGGGTCCTCCCAGAAAGAAGCTTGGACTCTGGAGAACACACAGCTCCCTGAGTGTAGTGGCACGCGTCTGTAATCCCAGCTGCTTAGGAGGCTGAAGCAGGAGGACAGCAAGTTCTGTCCACCTGGGCAACGGTGAGATCCTGTGTCAAAACGTTCAAAACAGAAGGGGTTGGGGTGCAGTTTGGTGAGTGAGCACCTGGCTTTGATCCCCAGTACCAGTGAGAAGGAAGAAATGTTTTGCAGCATGCAGGACGGCAGGCTTTATGAGAAAGGACCCTGAAGCCACACCTGAGATACACTGGGCACTGCCTTTTCCTCTCAACTCTCTGTCCTAGGACCCCCATCCCCGCGGGCCCCTGATTATCATGAACAAGATGAAGAACTTCAAGCGTCGGTTCTCCATGCCCCGCACGGAGACCATAGAGGAGTCTTTGGCCGAATTCACCGAGCAGTTCAACCAGCTCCACAACCAGAGGAATGAGGGTGAGGGCCCCACCTGCACCTCTCTACCCCGTTGTCCCCCAGGGCCCTGCAGACCTATCTTCCCCGCCTCCGAGGGGCGTGGCTGGGCTGGGGGCGGGGCAGAGCAGCAGGGACGGGAGCTTATGGCTGATTGGCTGATTCCTGTGCCTTTCAGACCTGCAGCTCGGTCCTCTTGGCAGAGACCCCCCACTGGAGCCCAGCCCCTTCTCCCCCACAGATGGCGGGGAAGAGCCTGGGACACTGTCCCCTGGCATGCAGTACCGGCGAAGGCAGAACCAACGCCGCTTCTCCATGGAGGTGAGGACTGCCCTCCTTGGCTTGGCAGGCCCCAGCTGCAGAGGTGTGCCTTTGAGCCATACTTTGGGGATTCAGATCCCTGTGCTGCTATTCCTTAGCTGTGTGACTTCGAGCAGGTTACTCCACCCGTGTCTTATGGTCTTCTTGTCCTTAAAACGGTCATGGTGAGGATTAAATGGGTTAATATACGCTAGATTCTTGGTACATTCCTGGGATAGAAAGGCCGAGCAGGACCGTTCTTTGCCCCATATACGTGTGCCAAGCATAGGAGAACTAAAGTCACAGAACTGCGGTGTCTGGGAGGGCAGGGGATTTAGGTTCCCCTTCTGTGGAGTGGTAGTGCCGTGGTCGAGAAGGAAAGCAACTTTCTAAAGTCACACAGCAATCCTAGGTGTTCACCTGTGTCTCGGGGGCACCCCCAAAGCAGCTGGGAGCCTGGAGTTCCAGCCTGGGATTTGGCCCTGCTGTGGTTGCTTTACCGGGAAACCAGTGAGAGGCAAGACCCAAAGCCCTGGCTCCCCTCTGAGCCAGCAGGGTGTCCTTTGTCACTGTAGGACATCAGCAAGCGGCTCTCGCTGCCCATGGATATCCGCCTGCCCCGGGAGTTCCTACAGAAGCTACAGCTAGAGAGCCCAGACCTGCCCAGGCCACTCAGCCGCATGTCACGCCGAGCCTCCCTGGTGAGTCCTAACCTGGTCAGAGATCTTTAGGGTGGGACTCTGTCCTGGCCCAGCCTGACCAAGGCCAGTAGTGGTTTTCAGAAAGCTTTCTAGGACTCTGGTGCCACCTGCTGGCCACAGTGACTTCAAAGCACTGGTCTTCCCAGATTAATAGGCATTTCCTCGCTGTTCCCAAGGAGCTAAGCTCTAACCCCTCTCTGGGCTTAGTGTCCCCATGGTGGACCAGCTGCCCTGTGCTTCCCAGTCCTGGCCACCTGTCATGTTTTTAGGAGCATTTTACAAACACAGATCCTGGGCCTACGATGTACACCTGCAGAATCAGCCTCTCTAGACGGAAGCCCAACAGTCTGTCCTGTTAAGACTTGGCTGCACCTAGCTAGAAGGAAGGGGTGTGCACTGAGAAGTGGGTTCCAAAAGGACACTGATGTGATGAGAAAAACACACCGCACCTGTGGGGAGGAGATAGCCATCTGAACAAGACAGAGATGGAAGCTGGACAGCCCTGTGTCCCCAGTGCCACGGGAGGGAGACATCACACTTCTCAGGGGCCCTCTGTTGTCATGGGGATGAAGGGAGACAAACAGAAGGGGATGAGTCTGTTCCCTTCCCTCCTGGAACCTGGAGGTGGGGGAAGGTGGAGGGATGTGGGGGCCCTGGGGCCGCTGGGACCTTGGCTCTCACAGCACCCTGTTTCTTCCTCCAGTCAGACATCGGCTTTGGGAAACTGGAAACATATGTGAAGCTGGACAAGCTGGGCGAGGTAAGGGCTGGCTGCGTCTTCTCCGGTGACAGACATGGGCTCTGCCCCCCACAGCACCGCCTTAAGAGAGATGCACCCCCGCCCTGGCCATGCATCCTGGCCCAGCCTTCTGCAGGTGTTGCTGGGGCCCCAGGTCCTGAACAGGGTTCGAGGACAGAGTAGCCTGTGGGCTCTGGGGTACTTTGCTTCTGCCGGTGCTCACACCTGGATCAAAATGCCAAGTCTGCCATTTACTAGGTGTGCGAGTGATAGGCAGTGATGTGACCTCTCTCTGTGCCTCAAGTTCCTCCTCTGTCGAACAGGACTAATTGTTCTCTCCAGGGTTGTGGTGAGGATTGAAGATGCATGACAAGCACTTAGCCAGCTCCTGGCACATAGCAAGGGCTGTGTCGCTGAGCTAATTCTGCAGCACTGTGTTGGTCTGTGAGCAGGCCGGGAGCAGGCTCAGACTCACAGAGAGGCGGAAGGCCCTTTCCCAAGGGGGAGACCCCTGCCTCCAAACATTGGTGTGATACGAGAGAAAACAACACTGGCATTATAACACAGGATGTCCAGGGCCAGAGGAATGAGCAGTCCATTTTGACCCGGAAGCTATTAAGGGTACTTCACAGAGGAAGTGGGCTTGCAGGAAACAGAATTTTGTGAAGGGAGGGGTGCACTGATACTAAAGGGCCCAGCCTAAGCCCCAGATGTGGGGAGGGTCCTGGGCTGAGGGGAGCAGTGACTGAGGGCTGACAAGTGGTCACTCCCCCGACCCAGGGCACCTACGCCACAGTCTTCAAGGGGCGCAGCAAGCTGACAGAGAACTTGGTGGCTCTGAAGGAGATCCGACTGGAGCATGAGGAGGGAGCACCCTGCACTGCCATCCGAGAGGGTATGTGCAGGGGCCCGGGACCCGCATTCCACCCCCGGGGTGAGGGGAGGCTCAGTAGCCTGGGGCAGACACCATTGCTGACCCCAGGGAGAGGACACCAGGGACCCAGGCAGGCCTGTCTCCCCAGTGTCGCTGCTGAAGAACCTGAAGCACGCCAACATCGTGACCCTGCATGACCTCATCCACACAGATCGGTCCCTCACGCTGGTGTTTGAGTACCTGGTGAGCCAGACTACAGCTGCTGCAGCAGGGCTGGGGGGGGGGGGGAGCTGAGGGAATAGGAGTGGTCTAGGGGAGTCGCAAGCCTTGTTCTAGAATCAGGTTTTCAGATGCTCCTGGGCAGGAGTGGACCAAGCACTCAGGCCTAGCAGTAACTAAGAGCCAGGGACCTGTGTTGCAGGACAGTGACCTGAAGCAGTATTTGGACCACTGTGGGAACCTCATGAGTATGCACAATGTCAAGGTGAGGGCCTCACGGTGGCACCCCATCCTTCTTGACACTGCGTCGCCTCAGCCCATCATGCTGGCCTTTCTCACCTGCTGAGTACACTCACAGCTTAAATGCAGGAAGGATGGATAGGATGCTACCAGTCAGTGAGTCAAGGACCTGGGACTGGCCCCTTGCCCCTAAGAACCCAAGTCCTCCACCACAGTCTAGTTACATAGCCCATCTCTAATGAAAAGGACCAGTTTTCCCATCTGTCAGGTGGGAGCATGAGCTACCTGCCAGGATGCATGGGGGAAGACTTCCAGGAAATTCAAGGGGTGCAGGACCCCTTCCGGTGTTTGCAAAGAACCAAGTGCACACATCCCACACGGGTGGTTTCCTGCCCCACTCTACCCCGTCACACTCTCCAGCTTGAGGATTTTGGCCTCCTGCAAATTCACTGCTCTTCTACACAACTGGGCCTCCCCTCTGGCGGGGATTCCCTTGTGTGCTGGGGCCCGGGATGGGCGGTAGGGTGTTAGGAACCTGGCATCCTCTCCAGAGATGTGCTGCACCCCACTTCCCATGCCTGCCCCCATTTCAGCCCCGGGCTTGAGGCAGAGGCTTGAAGTCTCACAGGTGCAACAGGCCCCCGAGTTCTACTTCTCCTTTCTCTCCCTGCTTCCCAGATTTTCATGTTCCAGCTACTTCGGGGCCTGGCTTACTGCCACCGACGCAAGATCCTGCACCGGGACCTGAAACCTCAGAACCTGCTCATCAATGAGAGGGGCGAGCTGAAGCTGGCTGACTTCGGTGAGGCCGGGGCAATGTGGGGGTCTTATGTCACTGAGGTGCCCAGCCACCCCAGGATGTGGGTGCTGTGGGGGAGGGTTTAGCAGTCAACACTGAGCAAACATTCAGTAACATGCCTGTCCCTAGGGCTGGCCCGGGCCAAGTCAGTGCCCACAAAGACCTACTCCAATGAGGTGGTGACCCTGTGGTACAGGCCCCCCGATGTGCTGCTGGGATCCACAGAGTACTCCACACCCATTGATATGTGGTGAGTGTGACTGAGGGTTGTAGGGGGCTCCCACACCTAGACTTCAGAAAGAGCCACCTGATCTCCCTGACCAAAGCCGTGTGGTTCGTTGCCTCTGCGGATGTTGAAAGATGAGCCTGCAATAGATGAGGGTTCCCCATCTTACACAGCTCCTCCAAGCCTGTGTGTTTGAAATACAGACCTGCCCGAGGGTACAGGAGAGTCCTTCCTATTATAAGGATAATGGAATTGCCCCCAAGCATCAGTTCTAGTGGTACTTTTGGAAGGAATACTTCTTTTTATGTTAAAATTAACAGATCAATGATTTGGCATAAATGAAAAACCAGCCCAAATTTGAAGCTGAAATTTAGATGTCTGCCAAATGCTCCTGTGCCTGTGCCCAGGGCTTCCTAGGAGAACCCAGGTGTGGGCCCTTCTTCCAGTCGGGCCACACTCCAGACCACACCCCAGAGTAAGAGCAAGAGGTTGTACCTTGCTAAGGACCAGGGCATCCTCCAGAAAGGGGCTGCACTGGGGACTGGGCAGTTCCGGGAGCCTCCTGCCGCCAGAGGCAGGGTGTCCTCGGTACCTGGGCGAAGCAGCCCTAGGAAGGGCGTCTGCTCCTCCCTGACATCTCCTGCCCCTTGCTCCCTGTAGGGGCGTGGGCTGCATCCACTACGAGATGGCCACAGGGAGGCCCCTCTTCCCCGGCTCCACGGTCAAGGAGGAGCTGCACCTCATCTTTCGCCTCCTCGGTCAGTCTCTTGCTGTACCCGCGCTCTGGCCACCAGAGGGCGCCAGCACTTCGCCAGCTCAGGCGCACAGAGGACCCGGCGGCCTCGCGGCCGATCTCAACCCCGCAGGATTCCGGTGCCCTCAGCCGGTCTTAGCTTCCTTCTCCGGCTTTGCACCCCTCACTCACCCCCTCTCAACCCCTTCTCGTCCTTCTAGGGACTCCTACAGAAGAGACGTGGCCCGGCGTGACGGCCCTCCCAGAGTTCCGAGCTTACAACTTTCCCGCGTATCTGCCGCAGCCGCTGCTCAGCCACGCCCCCAGGTAACAAGTCCCCCTAGTAGCCACGCCCTTCTAATAGCCACGCCCACTGTCCCCTCCACACCCCAGCCAGCCTGTGCAGCAGCACCTACCCCTTGCAGGTTGGATACTGACGGCATCAACCTCCTGACTGGCCTCCTCCTGGTGAGTGATCTGGGGTTTGGGGACGGAAGCCCCAAGCCCTGCCTGCCCTGGGCCCCAACTTACATGGTTTCTGTGCTCATCACCACGGGACTGTGTGCCTGACACCTGGGAGGAGCTCTGCTTTCCATCCTCTGCCTTCAGTGCCCCAGCTTAAAGCCCAGACCTTAATGTGGACTGCTTACTAGTGGGGAACTTCTGGCCGTGTTCCCGAGAACCTGTCTGTGCCTTCGTTTCCTCACCCGAAAAGTAGAATTGGTAGTTCATTGCTCATATAAGACGGTAATGAGGTACACTGAGGTGCACCAAGACACCTGTCTTGCTGCAAACACACCAGAAAGGGAGAGTAGTTTTCCTGCCAGTAATGGCCACGCTTGGTTGATGATGATGGTGGCCCGTGCATCTGAACCTTCATTCCCAGAGGAAGTCCATCCTTGTAGTCCCATTTCTGGTGGCTGGACACGTGGGCACCTGAGGCCTGAGACAGTCCGGGTGGGGTCAGGTTGAGGACAGCAGCTGACCCAGGCCCTCCACCTTGGCGATCTAAGTTATCATGGAGGCTGCATTGCCCGGAGGGGTCCCCACAGTGCCCAGTAGCCCACCCTGTGTGTTTCAGTATGAATCCAAGAGTCGCATGTCAGCAGAGGCAGCCCTGGCTCACCCCTACTTCCGATCTCTGGGAGAACGTGTGCACCAGCTCGAGGACAGTGAGTGTTCTGATGGGGCAGGGCCACGCCAGAGCCGGGAGTGCGTGAGAAAGCAGAATGAAGAGGCCCGAGGCCAGGTCCACTGAGGTGCCTTAGGCATGTCGCTTCACCCTATAAATTCTCCTTTGGATCTAAGGGGCACAGAGTCTGTGGATCTGACTGTGGTCCTGACTGAAGGGCTCCCCAAGCCAGGGTGCCCCAGCTCCACCCTCTTCTTTTCCCCCAGCTGCCTCCATCTTCTCCCTGAAGGAGATCCAGCTCCAGAAAGACCCAGGGTACCGTGGCTTGGCCTTTCAGCATGCAGGTAGGGTCTCGGGGGACCTCACCACCACTCTCGCTGCTAGAGGAGGTTAGGCGGACTACCTGTCCCCAGTGAGGGCTCCTGCTGCGGGGAGCAAAGATGGGCCCAGCAGTCTGCCTACGATGGGGAGTCCCCCACAGGGAGGCTGGGAGGTTTCTCTACCCTAACAGCACCCCATTCAGCATAGTTCTTGCAAAGGTGCTTCTTCTGGTGCTTGCACCCTGTAAACTGTGAGCCCCCTGGCCAGTCTGCATCCAGGAGAACTGTACTGTCTGGGCCAGCTGATGGCCTTGTATTATTTCATTTAATCTTTAAAACTCTCCATGAAGTTGGCACCATCCATATTCCGCAGTTCACAGCCAGCCTCTAAAACGTTAAGTCACAACTTCTTATAGCTTGTAACAGAGATGGGATTTGAACACAGGACTGCCAAACTCCCAAGCACATTTCTTTGCTCACTTGTTCAGAGTGTCTGGAGGACAAGTGTCCCTCCTGATCTTGGGCAGCCTGACTCCTCCCTGAAGTCCCGCCTGTCCCCCTCCATTCTCCAGGACGCGGGAAAAACCGGCGGCAGAGCATCTTCTGAGCCGTGCACCCTCTGCTGTGGCACAAGGGACATTCGGTCATGTGAGGGACGAGGCCTGTGTGGCTGTAGGAAGACTGAGGAACAAGAGCCAGTGGCCAGCCTGGAAGACCGTTGGCCCTGCTGGGCGTAGTTGTCTCCTCTCCCTGCTTCCCACACAACCTTCCTGGTGGCCATGCCTGGACACCGAGCCTCCGTCACTCCCCCTGGGGCTGGGAGTGAGCCGCTTCCCTGAGAGGAGAGGAGAGGAGAGGAGAGGAGAGGAGAGGAGAGGAGAGGAGAGGAGAGGAGAGGAGAGGAGGAGCAGGGGAAGGCCAGACCCTCTCCAGCCTGAAGTGCTTGAGCACAGGAAAATTCAGGCATCGAGGAGAGCTCTGGCCCAGAGTGGGCTCTACTGTGCCTCCCCCAGGGCCTGCCTGCCCCTCCAGGTTGGCAGTTCTCCCTTTGCGCCCAGGATCCTGCACACATTTCACCAAGAGAGGATGTGGCCCCTCATGTGGGACTCAAGGGCAAATGCAACAGCAGAAGAAACAGCAGTCCTGTCTCTCATCCTCTCCCTCTTCTTCCCTCCTCACCAGAAGCTGTTTGTGCCCTTTTGGGCCAACGCTGAGCATCACAGGGATGCCAGCTGTCCCTGAGGGTGGCCAGAGAGCCCATCGGCGCTCCTCCTGCCTCTGGTCTGGATAGAGTCGCCTTAACTTGGCAGGTGGTGGTGTGCACGCTGCCCTCGGCACCCCGACCGGCTCCTGCCTGCCTGCCTGCTTTCCGAGGACTGTTCTGCCTGTCTTATCCCTAAGCACCGATAAGTCAGAGCGGGGATGGTGATCTGAGTGTGGCACCCAGATAATGCAGGGTCACCCTGACATTGGTGCCAGGCCGGCCTCGGCACCTTAGCACTGACACGGCTCCCCGTCCCCTCCTCCCCAGCCTTGTGCTCTGTCCTCGTGATCTTGACGCAGGTGTGCCGGAGGGTGGTCATGAGAGGAGGCGGTGTGAATGCCGCAGCGTCAGTAGAGGCAGGGAGCGGGTTGGATGGTGAGAGTCCCCTCCTTAACACGCAATGTTCCCAAGACCTCCTCAGCCTGGCTGAATCCTAAAGCAGAGGCCAAGGGGACACCTGGCCTGGCTTCCTCCACAAGCCCTGCCCCAGCCCAATGCCTTCAGCCTGAGGAGTGGGGTGGGGGTGTAAGGGTCTGGGCTCCCCCAGCCCTCATCCCCTCCCCCACTGTACTGTGAATGTCCTTTGAGTCGGCACAGAGACAGATAATATATTTAATTCATGTTGCACAGGAAGGAGCACCCAGTCTGGTACAGAGGTTGATGCCAAGGGAGAACTAAAGCCCTGCAGACCCAAGGATGTGGCTGGGCCTGGTTCCTATGTGCCCTGGGCTGCCATGGAAGACGGAGTGCACCAGGTCCAGTACTCCCTAGACGCCTCAGCAAATTGTGGGACCATGACTCAGGGAGTGTTTAGTGGCATCTACATGGGGCTTTTAAGCTGGACCTGAAGGAGCCTGTATTTATTAAGCTCTCAGCCATATGCCAGACACTTGTTTTATTAAATTTGCACAAGAACCCCTTTCTCCCTGTCTTGCATACCCTCATACATACAGTGGGTCCTCAAGGACTGAGTGACTTCCCCAGGGTACACAGCAACTTAGAGTCCCCAGCCCTCGCTCGGTCTTTAAGGCAGGAGCTGCACACAGCACAGAGGCCCAGGAGGCAAGAAGCAACTCTAGGAAGGGCCTGGGCAGACCTGTTTTGCTGGAATCCCTTAGAGGCCACCATGAGTCACAGGCATTGTGTTGCTCTAGGGGCCTAGGAGATAAATCCTACTGGACAGGCTCACCCCAGGCCTTGGGTACAGGTAAAGATAGTGGCTCCAGAAGAGAGAGTTGGATTCGGGAGCAAAGACTGGATATGAGCTGCCAGGGCTGGTGGGCTGCAGGAGCCATCCTCGAATTCCCCAGGGACCAGGCTGAGCCGCATGTCCTGGAGCCCAGGGTTTCCTGCATGCCTGACAGTCATTTCCAGATGCCACATGGCCTTTACAAACAGCAGCCTGCCATTCCACCAGAGTCCTGAGTCACTGACCTGCTGGCCTCACATTAACTCTCTGCTCCTGGGATGGGTCGGGAATGCCTGGGCTCCTGACTGGCCTTCTCTACCAAACTCATTTGGCAGGAGCATCTGTGATTTGCAGCAGCCCTGCAGCTGCTGATAACAGGTCTTATTCGATGACTGCTGCAAGGTAGAGGTGATACCAGCTCCCCACCCTACTGTGACCAGGAGCTGGCTGTCCCGAGCCCCAGCCTTCCTAGGAGCCCCAGGCACAAGCCCAGGGCTGATGCCAAATGAACCTGGGCCACCACACACTGATGCTGTAGCGAGGCCTGCCCCTTCCTTCCACTCTAAGCAACTCAGCCCCCTTAGGCCCATCCTGCCCTTTGCTCAGACCCTTGCGTCTACATGTGACACTCCACAGCACCCCCGCTGAACCATCTCTCTCCAGGGCAAGTCACCAGCTGGCCCTGCGTGGTACACAGCACTCCAGCCCTGTCCAAACTGCTCCTAGGCCACAGCAGTGAGGAAGTCAGCCAGATCACAGTCCAGTGGGGTCAAAGGCACCCCTAGATCAACACAAGGCAGGCACCTCAGAGTATCTGCAGTTTAAGAATCAGAGTAAAACAGGGTCAGGAGATGAGAGGCTGAGTGAGGGTGCAGAGTGGGGATCGGATACACCGGTTGAGGTACAAGTGTGGTCAGGGGCATCTGATGGGGTCTGGGGGAGCATGGCTTCAGAGGGAAGGAACCAAGTGGGTAGTCAGGGACAGACCATCCCTGGAAAGGCCCAGAAGGGAATGCGCTTGAGGAAGAGCAAAAGGCCACTAGTGAGACCAGAGCCCAGCAAACCAGGAAGGGGAACAGGAGGGCGGCCGCGTGCACGTGCCTGTTAGGTCCAGCTGGAAGCACTAGGGCCTGTCTACTGGCTCCAGCTCAGATGGACGCCTGCAGATTTGGTTTTTCTTTTTTTCCACCCTGGGTTGTTCCCCTCTCCCTCTTCATTTTATTTTATTTTATTTTATTTTTTGAGGTAAAGTCTGCTAAGTCTTCAGACAATGTTCAAGCTTGTGATCCCTTTGTCTCCACCTCAGAGGGTGCTGGCATTCTAGGTGGGTGCCACCATATCTAGCTAACATCAGACTGCAATAATGAGGCCAGGAATTAGGTTTTTTTAAATGCCCCTAACCTGAGGGGTAGGAATGTAGCACTCTGGTGGCATATTTACCAGGCACAGACCTGGCTTTGCACCCCAGCACCACAAATACAGAAGGTCCCACAGCACCTATATGTGCTAGGCCTCATTCTGTGGTGGCTGCTGCTAGTCTTACTGGCTCAGGAGGAAGCTGGGGGAGAAGCCCTCGGACTCCTGGCAGAGAAGGGAAGGCCCCAGGGAAACCCATACTGCTGCTATGAGGCAGGGGCTCTCAGTGGTTCCATTTTGCAGCAGAGGCCCTTGGGGTTAGGAGACTTGCCTGGTCCCCCAGAGAGCATGGTGGGTGGACTGTCCTAGTGGAATCCCGCTGGCTGCCTGCCTTCACCACGCCAGCTATATGGGGCAGGAGTGGAGTGCTTTATGTAATTACATGGAGGACCTGGGTCTCCCCCTCTGGTCACCTGAGAGCATGGCTGACAGCCAGCCAGGAGGCACCAAGGTTGGCCACCATCACTGTTCCCCCACCCCACCAGGTGTCCCCTGCCATCATTCGCCTTTTCCTCTGAACCCCCATCTTCCCACCATCAGCCATCTGGAAGGGAAGTGGTCCTGTCCCTGCTCCAGCAGCCGGGGCACTGTGGCTGGTGTCATTTCTGATGATCAGTGTCCAGCTCCCAGCAGGAGTGTAGTAGCTGTCCTCAGATGGGTAACCCGGGCCAGGAAGCACTGCTGGAACTGCAGAGCCACCTGCCACTGGCCTCTTGTTCAGCAATGTTTTCTCTCGCTTTCTCTCCCTTTCTGGGGTGCTAGGTACTACTCAGTATATATCCCTGAGTGACGCTTAGACCCAGAGATCAATATCCTGACCCAGCCAGGTGTCGTGACTGACTCAGCCGCTTGGGAGGCTGAGGCAGAGGGGGTTGCTGGAGCCTAGGAGATTGAGCCAGCCTAGGCAACATGGCAGGAGTAAAGTGGGCATGGGCGTGAAGCCCCACACTCTGCTGCTCCCTGGACTAGAAGTGGCAGCCCAGTTCCTTGTCTTCTGGTCTGCTGGGTTCCTCCCTCCCCAGTTCCCTCACTCCAGGCTCTAACTTGGTACCACAGGACTCACACACTGAGCCTCCTCCCTGGAGCTCAGAGTCCAGCTAGAGTGGCTTAGGATGTGATCTTTGCTCTCATAAGGTCTCAGGGTTTTACAAGATGAGGAACTTTCCATTCGTCATTCTATTAAAATTTACTGGGCTGCAGGTGCAGCTCAGTGGTACAGTGCTTCCCTGGTGTTCATGAGGTCCTGGGTTCTGTCCCTAGCACCACAAAAATAAATAAGAATGGATAAATAAATAGATAAAATGTTTTACCATTTCTGTTTTGTCTGTTTTTTCATAGCAAATATTTTTGATGGCATCCATATTATCCCCGCAGGAGGGATTGGCTAGGCCTCCGGCCTAGGCAGGGGCTCTCAGTGGTTCCATTTTGTGCATTCATGCACAAAATTTTGTGCACCAGCCTCCCAAACCAATCGGACCCTGATTCAGATCCCAGCTTTACTTCTTCGAGCTACATTGTGTGCCACAGTGTCCGTTTCTTTTGTTTTATTGTTGTTTGTTTGTTTGTTTTTATCTTTAGGTCTTTTTGAGACAGGATTTCATTATGCAGTTTAGCCTGGCCTTGAGCTCACAATATAACCCAGGCTGGTCTGGAACTCACAATGATCCTCCTGCCTCAACCTCCCAAGTGCTGGGATTACAGGCATGCATCACCACGCCTGGCTTCTCAAAGATTTTTAAGGATTCAAGAGAGAAATTGTGTAAGGGGCCCAACACAGCTTCCTAGCTTAGTACCTCTGCTCTGCACATTACTCTCCACCATGAAAATTCTAGTTCCCTCCCTCCCCAGGGATCCCAGTCCTGGAATTAAAATTGAAGACCGTACTGCTCTTTTCCTTGCTTTTTTCAACTATGCTAAGTCCTCAGCAAGAAAGTCTTGAGTACATTCTACTTCAAAGATTTTGCAAGACTTAAAAAGTTGACCTCGGAGCAGGGTTGCTGTGTGGAGCTTTACACCTTGAGAAGGGAAGGTGTGTCACAAGTTTGTTTCTTAGGGAGACTAGCTGTCTCCTGAGGTAGGGAGAACCCTGAGCCCAGAAGCATTCAAGCAGAGACCGTGGAGTCACCTATGAATTCCAAGTTGCAATTCCAGTGCAACGTACAGCAAGTCCCTGAGGAGAGGCTCTGCTTCTGAACTGGCCCTATTCCTCCAATCCTTTTTTTTGTTTGTTTTGTTTTGGTTTGGTTTTCCATGTGAGGCAGCAAGATAAAATTGGCATATGAGACATATTCCTTGCAAAAACCGAGGGTTGGGGAGACTAAATCATGGCCCTGGGCTTGCGAGCCCTCTTCACTCTGGATTCCAAGATACCTGGGTCATCGTCATAGCCCTGCCGCTGGCTTCAAGGTGAGGTTACCTTAACTTTCCAGCGTCTGGGACTGATGGGCAGCGTAGGAATGAACCCAGCTGTGATTCCCAACACCTGGTGGTGAGGGTAGGGGGCTCCTTGGGGAGATAGACGGGACAGGGCTTAGGGCCCTGCACTGTCCTTCTTAGGCAGGTGTCCTGAGTGGTCACCCTCAACCTCATGTGACTCTGCGCCACTGGGGTGAAGCTGAGGCCCCCAAAACAACAGGCTGTACATCTGGAGGTCAAGACTAGAGCTCCAGGGCCAGCCTTACTTGCCCTGCATCTAGGCATAGCCACCCTACATGGCTTCTTAGTGCCTCAGTTTCCCCATCTGCTGAATGAGATGACCAGAGGATAAAAGTGTGGAGATCAGAAGGGTTATCACATGGCAAGCACTCAAAATTCACTGGCCGTACAGAAAGCATGACATACATATTAGCTATTGTTAGGTCATCTGTCCCTGAGGGTAGAAGCAGCCAGCCATTGCTTGCCACCTGTTTCACTGAGGGCTGTGACCAGAGGCCCCAGATTCCTGATTGGAGGGGGAAGGGTAGGATAGGAGAACAGGAGTGGCTGCAGCGCCTTCTGTTTGTGGAAAATCATCTATTCTCCACACTGCTACTAGGCTGTGGGATTCTGATGCCCTTTTTAACAGTGAGCTAGATGTGATGAGTCCCACAAACATTACCTAAATTACACTTTCTTAAAAAAATTAATAGACCTTGGTTAAAAATCTCCTTGACTCAAATGGCTCTGAAATGCTAGAGTCAGGAACTCTGTGTGAGGGAGAGAAGCTGACTACAGAAATGCCAAGAATGCTAGGCTGGGGGGCACCGTGCTTGTCTGCTTGGCCCAGATGCAGGCTGATAACCAAAGAAATCAGCAGCTCCAGGGGTGCAGTGGCTGGAGATTCATCCCCACCACAAGTCCCTGAATTGCCTACCTGTTTTGCAAGCCTCGTAAGCCTCATAAACCTCTCTACCTCAACAAGATCACAGTGTAGACAAAAATCCAGTGAGTCAATAAAAATACAAACTGCCTGACTCATTAGGGCTCTGCTCTTGGACCCCATTCCTTTGGGCTCTGCCCACCAGACTTCAGTGCCCATTAACAGCTACGGAGCGTGTTAATTCATTTCTAGGTGTTTTCTGGGGTTCCCCAGCTGCAGAGGGGCTCCAAGAGGCATGCTGCTTGCTGTCCCACTATCACCTTGCAGGAACTCTGTTCACTTTCAGCAAGGTGCCTGAACCCTTGGTGCCCTGGCTCTCCCCACTTCCCCAAAGGGGCCTACTTCTAGGGTCCCTCCACGCCCCCACCCCATTCCTGGACTTCCTCTTCCGCCTCCCTCCAGCATGCTTCACAGTTAAGTCCCAGCCAGCTTGGCCTTGGGCAAGGCCTGGCCCCTTGCTGGGACTCAGCGTTCCTGTCCCTGTGATGAGGGTGGGCCCTAGATGTCCTCAGAATGTCCTCCCTGCCCAAATATTACATCAACTCTCTGTTCCCACTTTAGTAGTTTAGTGTTTGTTTTTTAGTTCCAGGGCTCAAACCCAGAGCCTTGTGCGTGCTAGGCAAGTGTGCTACCTTGGAGCTACAGGCTCAGGCCCACTTTATTGTTTCATAGGGGTCATTTCCTCTCCTTCTCCTTTCAAAGATGCCTCAAACTCTCTTCCTCTAACAAACTCTTCTTGACCAAACCCACGAACACTGTCTTTCGTGCTCAGGTCTGTTGGCACCATGTAGATCTACACGGATGCTGGTGGGCTTATCCTCCTTTTATCCTCATTGCTCAAAATACCACCCAAATTTTCACAGCCTAAGTAAAAACAGCTTAGACAGAAACAGTTGGTGCTTCTCCGAAGACCTCCGATTGCCCCCAACTCTGCCTGTAACCAGACCTCTCCCAAACCAGACTATCTTGAAATTCCATCTGCCTATGGCTTGCATGGGTGTGTCTGGGTTTCTAGTGTCTGGCCTTTCCTGCCTGCATGGAAGAGAATGCGCCTTCACAGGTGTGCTTTGCTGGATTAATAATATACTTGGTGACCAAGTCATTCTTTCATAATTATTGAGATCTGTTGTGCACAGGCAGGGCACACATAAACACCCCAATAGATGGATGAAGAGACTAAGCCCTCATGTGGTTTTAACACCTTGCACACAGTTAGCCAAGCGAGACCTCCACCACATTTGTGTATCTTCCTGCCTTGCCCCAGCTGCTTAGGTCACTGACTCTGACCTGCTTCGGACGCCAGTTTAAGTCTTAATCTGTTCCAGAGTCAGCGCTGTGAATTGTGGCCCACAGCTGGCCAGGGAGCCAGAATAAGCAGATTTGACTTCTAATCTGATTCATCCAGCTGGTTCAGAGAGCTGCCAAGATGAGGGAATTTGTTGTGCTCCTGCCATGCCTCTTTTCCGCTGGCCACCACAGCTGTCCTCTCACCCCTCTCCACGTGCACCCTCCCTTCTCTGGGAGCCCCCAGGCCGGTTCCCAGGAGGATGTGAGCCAGGGACAGGCAGGCTGTTTTTCCTCCTCGGCATTGTTCTGTCCCTGTCCATTGTGCATGCTGGGAGCAGAAGTCATCAAGTTGCCTGGCAGACTCCCAGCAGAGCTGGGGAAAGTTCCGGGAGGGGACTGACCCATTAGGGATGGTTGAAGCTTTTCAAGAACATTTTGGCCAGACCCACCTGGGAGAGCCTAGAAGGAAAACCGTGGAGATTTTTGGCTCCCTAGGAGCCAGCTTTGAGATTAGAAGGCCCAGGAACCTTGACAGATCATGGCCTACCAAGCCCATCTTGCAGACTAGGCCCGACACCACTTGGCTTGGGAAAACCAAGTGGAAGAGACCCTGAAGGGGAAAGGCCGGTGGATAGATACTCAGCCAGTTGTCAGGAAGCCAAATTTACATTGTCCTTTGTTTAGGATACCTGAGCTTCCCCAGCTTAGATGGCTCATGCCTGAGGATGGAAAAGGACTCAGTCACCTTTAAAGCTTCACTGAATTCATCCCAGGAGGAAATGAAAACAGAAGTTCAAACCTGTTTTGAAACAGTTCAACATGCACGGTGGGTGGGCTGAGTAATACTCTGAATCTTTCCTTGCCACCAGGCTGGGTGTGCCTGGGGCCACTTCCTAGTGCCAGGTGCTTTGCATACATCTGACTGAACCCACTTGGAGATTAGATCACAGCCCAACCAGTGAACCTGCTCAGTGCCTCGCTTCTTACGGTCACCTCAAAGAGGGTAAGCATGTTCTAAACCACACCACTGCTTGTAAGCAGAGCTGAAAGTTGAACTCAAGTCCTGGACCCTCTAAAGACCACTTCCTGCTGAGTGGGATAGTGCACACCTGTAATCCCAGCACTCAGGAGGCTGGGGTAGGAGGATTGAGACCAGTCTGGGCTACAAAGTGAGTTCAAGGCCAGCCTGAACTGCATAGCAACTCTGTCTCAAAAAGACAAAAAAAAAAAAAAAAAAAAAAAAAGGCAAAGTCCACTTCCTACAATAGAAATCCTCAAACACTGCATTACACATGTCTGGGGTGCTGGATGAGGGTACAGATTTCTGGGACCTGTCCCCTCTCCTCTATGCTAATCCTATTAATGGAGGGCAGAGAGGAACCAGTATTGTTACCAAGTTACACAAGTGATTCTAATGTGATTGGGTCACAGGAGAAACTTGCCTTGGGATAAGTTTTAAAACCTTCAACCCAAGAAAAGCAACCTATTCAGGAATCATGACAGCCCCAGGCCACTGCCAGCTCTTAGTAGGTGTCACAGAAGGAGCAGCCACAGCCTGAACCACAGAAGGCAGAAACAATCAACTTGCAGCCCAGAAATCCCCTCCTGTGCATCTGAACATTTTAAAGCCCCAAGAGAGAAGGCTGAACCATGAAATCGGAAACAAAAA